TTTTGCATGACATCAAATGGGGAAAAACTCACGTGTTTCCCTCATTAAATAATGGAGATGAATGGAGGTGAACTTGGAGCCAAATTCTCATTGGTCCACTTGCTTTAACCATGTGTGTAGGTAGGATTTTACTTGCCTAATCACCAGCTTGTGTGGCACAATTTGAGGCTATGTGGTGTGGGGTCTAGGCTTAGTCATCCTAAGAAAGCTTAGCATGTTGACATGTGTCCAAGCAAGTAGGTGACTCATGGCCACAACTTCCACCCAACACTTATCCTAGGTAAAACCCACGGCAGTTACTAAGGAGGAGGGTTTGGGTTTGCTTAACTTGATCATGATGTTTAGCTTAATATAAGCTAATGATGGGTGGTAGCTTAGTGCCGCGCGCGCTACGCACGGAAACGCACGGCGTTCGTGCCTGCTATGGCTTTCACTTCCGAGACTTAAACATGAACTTGATTTCGAAATTAAATTCAAACATTCTTAACATTTAATAATTAATTCCGATTAATAATGTCCGTTTATAAAATAAATGATTCGGAAATTAATTATCGAATTCGACTCGGTTAATAATTCAACCGAATAGACTTTCGACTTAAAGTCGAACTTGATTGACTTAAATGCTGAAACTGAACAAGATTAATAAAAGAAAATACATTACTTTTATTAACAAGAAACTGGGCTATTACAATCTACCCTCCTTAAAATATTTCCGTCCTCGGAAATATCAAACTAAACATATATATAGAATACAAGAAAAGTATATATACATCAAAACTCAAAGTCGGGAAAACGAGCTCTAATGTCTGCTTCGCACTCCCAAGTAGCATCTGACTCTCCGTGGCGATTCCATCTAATGCGTACGAGGGGAATGTCTCGTCTCCGGAGCCGCCGAACCTCGCGGTCCAAAACTGCTACCGGATACTCCTCGTACGACAGATCTGGCTGAAGCTGAATATCAGTATACTGAAGAACATGATCTGGATCGCACACATATTTACGTAACATGGACACATGAAAGACATTATGTACATTAGACAACTCGAGAGGCAGAGCTAGACGATAGGCCACTTCGCCCACTCGTTCGAGAACTTCGAATGGGCCGATAAATCGAGGATGTAACTTTCTTCTCTTCCCAAATCGAACGATCCCTTGGAATGGACGAACTCTCAAGAAGGCTCGTTCTCCGACTTCAAACTGAATATCACGTCTGTGCTTGTCGGCCGATGACTTCTGCCGACTTTGTGTTGTTCTAAGTCTCTGTCTGATAAGCTCAACTTGCTCAACTGTCTCCTCGATCATCTTTGGACCGAGTACTCGACGTTCGCCAACATCGTCCCAATAAAGGGGCGAGCGGCATTTACGTCCATAAAGTGCCTCGAAAGGAGCCATATGGATCAGTGCCTGATAGCTGTTGTTATAGGCGAACTCAACTAGCGATAAAATTGTCTCCCACTTAGCACCTCTGTCTAGAACTAACGTTCTGAGCATATCTTCGAGCTTTTGAATAGTCCTCTCTGTCTGACCGTCTGTCTCTGGATCGTAAGCCGAACTGAACTGTAACTACGTGCCCATCGCTTCGTGTAAACCCTCCAAGAATCTGCTAGTGAATCTAGGATCTCGATCTAACACAATATGAACGGGCACTCCGTGGAGTCGAACGATCCCACGGGTATAAATCTCGGCTAACTTTTCCATCGACATGGTCATCGATACAGGTAAGAAATAAGCAACCTTAGTCAATCTGTCGACTACGACCCAAATAGTGTCGTGATGTTCAGACGACCTCGGTAACCCTGTAACGAAATCCATTGCAATCTCCTCCCACTTCCACTTCGGAATCTCGAGTGGTCGCAGAAGGCCTAAGGGACTCTTGTGCTCGGCCTTAACTTGCTGACAGACCAAACACTTCTTTACAAAACTGGCAACATCTTTCTTCATTCCCTTCCACCAGAAAGACCCTTTCAGGTCATGATACATCTTGGTGCTGCCGGGGTGAGCTAAATAAGGCGCGGTGTGTGCCTCTGTCAAGATCTCCTTCTGCAAGGCCTCGACCTTCGGCACTATGATCCTGCCTCTGAACTCCAAGGCGCCATCTGCGCCTCGGGAAAAACCCTCGACTCCTCCGGCAGAAACCTTGGCCTCAATAGCACGAATAAGCTGATCATGAGCCTTTGCTCGCCGAATTCAGTCCCTCAACGTGGGCTAAATTTGTATCGAGCTAACACTCCCTGTAACTACTGCAGGAAGTGACTCGACGACTTGAATTTGCATCCGGGCAAAGTCTCGAACAAGATAACGCTGCTGGGTAATAGAACAAGATAATTCGCTCTTTACCTTTCGGCTTAGGCATCAGCTACAACATTTGCTTTCCCCGGATGATACTGAATCATGCAGTCATAATCTTTAACAAGCTCCAACCAACGTCGCTGAAGCATGTTGGGCTCCTTTTGCGTGAAAATATACTGCAGACTCTTGTGATCGGTGTAAATCTCGCATCGACCACAATAAAGATAATGCCGCCATATCTTGAGTGCATGTACCACTGCAGCTAACTCCAGGTCGTGGGTAGGATAGTTCTGCTCATGGGGCTTCAACTGACGTGAAGTATACGCTACAACCTGGTCGTCCTGCATAAGTACACACCCCAAACCCTGCCTCGAAGCATCACTATAGATGGTGAAACCCCGAGAAAGATCTGGAATAGTCAACACCGGTGTCGTCGTAAGCCTCCTTTTCAGCTCCTAAAAACTCGACTCATAACGGTTTGTCCACTCAAACTTCATAGACTTCCTCGTCAACTGCGACAAAGGGAGGGAAATCTTCGAAAACCCCTCAATAAATCTGCGATAATAACCTACAAGGCCGAGGAAACTATGAACCTCGGACGGATTCTTCGGTGCTGACCAGTTCTGGACTGCGGCAATTTTGGAAGGATCAACTTTAATACCTGCTTGAGTGATAATGTGGCCAAGAAAAGCCACTCGTTGAAGCCAAAATTCGCATTTAGAGAACTTTGCATATAACTTTTCACGTCTAAGGGTCTCAAGAACTACCCTCAGATGCTCTTCATGCTCCTTCTGGCTCTTGGAATAGATAAGGATATCATCAATGAATACAATAACGAACTGATCAAGAAAAGGATGAAACACACGGTTCATCAAGTCCATGAATACTGCCGGGACATTGCTGAGGCCAAACGGCATAATCACGAACTCGAAGTGACCGTATCTCGTACGAAACGCTGTCTTAGGTATGTCTGATTCCTTGATTTTTAGCTGATAGTAGCCTGAACGCAAATCAATCTTGGAAAATACGCAGGCACCCCTCAACTAATCAAATAAATCATCGATCCTGGGAAGCGGATATTTATTCTTGATCGTCAACCGGTTAAGATCACGGTAGTCGATACACATACGCATGGATCCGTCCTTCTTCTTGACAAAGAGAACGGGTGCTCCCCAAGGTGAGACGCTCGGTCGAATAAAACCGAGATTCAGCAACTCTTGAATTTGGGTCTTTAATTCTTGCAATTCTTTAGGTGCCATTCTATACGGCGCCTTAGAAACGGGTCCGGCTCCAGAGATAAGATCGATAGAAAATTCCACCTGTCGGCTAGGTGGACCGCCCGGAAGCTGGTCTAGGAACACGTCCACGAACTCACGAACAATAGGAATGTCATGAGGTGACCGTGCTTTTGGCTCATCTCTGACGAGGCTCACAAGGTAACCCTGGCAATCATCCCGTCGAAGAATCCTCCTGGCTTTCGCCATAGAAATAATATGGGGCAGAGTACGAGTCCTGGAGCCGAAATAAGTGATCTGATCATCTCCCTGAAGATAAAGAGTAATCTCCCAGTCATGACATCGGATATCTGCATGAAAACGTGTTAGCCAATCCATACCGAGTATGAGGTCAAAATCCATCATCTCGATAACATAAGCATCAGTAGTCAAAATACGGTCGCCGATGGAAAGGCTGAGATCGGTGGCTCTAACGTCAGTCACTATCTTTCGTCCTGAGGCTAAGCTCACCTCGAGAGGATCGACAGTGGTAAGAGAATGAACTCCAATAGCTTCGAGACATCGGCGTGATATAAAAGAATGGGTCGCTCCGGTGTCAAATAAGACATAAACAGGTACATCATTAAGAACAATCATCCCAGACATGGTACCTGGGTGCTGGTCGGCCTCCCTCTGGTCAACTGCAAAGACACGGGCCTGCTGTCTGCCACGTGGTTGTTGCTGGGGTCGTGGTGGCTGTTGCCTGGGCTGCTGCTGTTGAGGTTGCTGCGGTGGCTGTCGTTGTTGTGGTTGTTGTTGTGGTTGTTGTTGCAGTCGTTCTGCGCAGTTGGAGCTGATATGGTCGGGCTGGTAACAAAAGAAACAAATGTTCTGGCCCACAAGGCATTCTCCACGGTGGTGTTTTCCACATGTCGGGCAGGCTGGTATTTGTCTGGGGCGAGTCCTCCGGTCGTCTGGGCCCCCTCCGAGCTTCCTGTTCTTCTGGTTCTTTGATGGTTGGGTAACGTTAGGTTGGGCAAGTGGTTGAGCAACTGGCTGGGATGAAGTCGTATTAGCTTCTCGTCGGATGCTGGCATCTATTTCTTGAGCAATGGCAACTGTGCGGGCGTAGGTCTGGATGCCATGACCTACGATGTTGTGACGGACTGCTGGGAGAAGTCCGTCAGTAAAACGAAGGGCTCTCTTCACCTCTGTACTCACAAGATCGGGTACAAAGGCTCCGAGTCGGGTAAACTCTCTCTCGTACTCATCAACAGAACAAGTACCCTGTCTGAGTGCCAGGAACTGGCGCTCCATGTCTGCTCCGTAGTACGAGGGATAGTACTTCCCGCGGATCAACTCCTTGATTTGGTCCCACGTACAACCTTCTTTTTCGCCGATACGCATACTCCAATAGGCATTCCACCAGAGTCGGCCATCACCGGTCAGCTGGATTTGTGCGCATAACACTCGATAACGATCAGGACAGTCCATGACCTCGAAAATCATTTCAAGGCCCTGAACCCATTCGTCCACTATACGAGGATCTCCTTGGCCGGAAAACTTTTCTGGATGGTAGTCGCAGAAATGTGTGACTACTGTGGCCTGAGGGAGCTCCTTAAGCATTCGTTTAGATATATATAAATTGTAACTCAGCACTTACCTGGTAGTCGGCGAGGCGTGAGCGTAGCGTGGTCGGTTTTTCTGGAAATTTCTTGACTTAATAATGTATTCAGATACACAAAAAAGTGCTCTGATACCATTTGTGATACCCCTCTAGTTATTAAAATCAGAGTTAAATTTTCGCAAATTCTTTTCTAAAAATACGTATTAGTTTGCGAAATCGTGACTCGGGATGCTACGGAAAAATATTTCTTTTCTAAAAATCCGTTAAATTGACTAATTTAAAACTATTAGAAAAACGGATTATCTTTTATCAAACTGGCATGTAATACTGAAAAAATCCGACCAGAAAGTTTGGATAAAAAACTGAAAATTAACATGCGAGTTTCGAAAGTCTGAAAATGTCAGCGGAAGTAAAATTGTGGCAAAATAATATATACATGTGATAAGTTGCAAAAGCATATGTACTGGACCAACGACCACCTGCTTTGCTCACTCCTCCGGACCGACCCTGCTTTAATATAGTGGGGGCGTGAGCACTAACGCCACTGTGCTCCGCAGAAATTTATACTAAATTAAACATTAATGATAATATAAATATCATGACTGCAGGTATATTTAAGTAAACTGTAATCTCCCGACGCTGGGTCGGTATCTGAACTGAACTTTCTCGGA